TTTTCGATACAAAGAATCCAATAATTGGATATTAACTAAACAATTATTAGGAATTTGTTAAATATATAAATATAATAATACACATTCAATGCCAGTTGAATTTGCCTTAACCTTCAGAAACAAAGGGATATTTTCGGTTTTTATATTTTTGAAACACCGGTTACATTCGAAAATAAACTGGCCATAATGAGTGTATTAAGTACCCGAAGAACAGAATATAGCGGTCGTCGTAGCACTCGAAAGTCTCTGACCTCATCAGCATCGGGCAGCTACGAAATTTTCTGCGTCAATTTCTATGACAACGGATTGCGAGCGGTGCGAGATGAATACATCAATCAGATCAAGCTCGGGCTGCGACAATTTCTGTTTGTCATCGATCTGGATGCGGAACTGGAGGATAATCGCTTGGCCAACCGGAGGAAGACTCGAACCAGCGGCAAGGGCAGACAGTCAGGTGAGCGGAGCTGCAACTGATTTACCTCGTGTGATCAGCATTTTGGGCGTTTATCACTAGAATTTTTACCCACCGATCCTATGACCCATACGCTGTTGCGCATTGAGAGCTGCCTGCGTGAATATGAGTTCATAACCCGTAAGATTGAAGCGGAGCTGAGCTTCAATATGCTCAAGTACTATCAGAAGAGTATGCCCGCCCAGCTAAAGATACGATCGCCTGACGCCAAAAAGGAGAAGCCAGCCGAGTCGAAACGTTCTGCCAAGTCCAAGGACACCGACACCGTTTCGTTGGCCAAAATCACATGCTTCAGCGTTACGGCCAAGGAACACCACAAAGTGGGCAAGGGCCAACCGCTGTCCAAGCGTCAGGTAAGGCTCAAAATGAATTTGTCTTCTTGTCAAATCTAATTTTATATCTTCACTTCAATTTCAGTATATTAAAGATGCTCCTGCGAACACGACAATACTTATTGTCATCATTGGTACCCTACAAAATAATTTCTACAAGACTTTGCTCACGTAAGTTGGATGATATTAGTTTCTGGACTGGTTTTGGGGCTGAGAATTCGCTCTAGAATAACATGATGAAGATTTGGTTGGAACTCGAAAAAAGTGCGATCTTAGGCTAAATCTAAATCTAAATCTACTCTGATTAACATTTCGTATTAGATTTTCAATACACTCCACAAAAGATCTGAAAGGTGTTGAAACTAGTCGCTATTAGAAAGAAGAGCGGGCTTTTGGGTTACTGATTCTTTTACTCTCTTACTCTACATATTTCCTTGAGGTGAAACTAGAAGAAACAGCTGTTATTCATTCAAGTTTTTCCGACGTTCAATACGCATATTCCCTTGAGTCGGGGCTAAAAAGGAACTGTCCAACGTTCGATCTTCAACTTGTAGTCCGAGTTAGCAATAGGCGAACGACCTAATCTGAATTACACTCACACTTTTGATACACCTTTATAGGTAATATGCCAATAACTTCTTCACCTTTAGAATGAATCAGCCGTTGCGTGGAATCGTGCACTTTCTGCCCAAGGAGTGTGCCTATGATGTGCTGGTGCCGCGTCCACGTATCGAGAAGGAGCGCCGCGAGACCATCGAGACAATCCAGGCCGATATTTATAAGCTCCGTAAGCGGGTGTCGACAAAGCCCGTTGGCATAATGCAGCAACAGCTGCCGCAGATGTCCATGTGCCAGGCGGCCAGGTATTCGAGGAATATTTTTGACCAGCTCACCTGGTTTCTGTACGATATGAAAGTGTTGCGGGAGCAATATGACGAGTACTATGTGAAGCCGTACTGTCAGATCGATGTCAAAATGAGTCCGAGCACCAGCATGTTGTCCAGCTTCCAAATGGCCGACTCTCTGAGCATTCAGGGACACTATTTGAAGGCTGAGATGCCGGCAGTGCACGACGATGATGCCTCGGTCTATTTGTACCTCGAGTCACTGATGTGTACGTTCGGTAATCCGCGCGATTTGATGACCGAAATGGAGGTACTGATGCTAGCAAATCCCACATCGAATTTATATACCAAAACTCTGGATAAAATCAAGGTCTATGCGAATGCCTTCAAGAGCATTATTAAGCTGATGAAAAACGAGCTGTTGTTCGTCGAGCAGGCGAATACGCTGCTCGAGAGCGTTATATCCTACATGGATCAGAGCCTAATGCGAAATATCTATCATGCGTGCTTGGAGTACAATGTGCTGCGGCGTTATTTCAGCTCGGGCTACATCATAGAGAAGCTCTACTATACGCCCTATAATGGCGATGGGGAACCGCGCCGTTTGCCCAAATTCGGGCAACTATATTTGACGGACGATTCGGTGTGCCAGCGCATTATACAGCTGATCAATGAGTATGACAACTATAATATCGAGGAAATTCAACCAAATATACGGCTTTTTTCATTTCGGCGCATCCAGAACGAGGTCTTTGAGAATGAGAAGCAATTGGTTATACCGACACGTCTATGCTTTCGCGACTTTACGCTTTATGAGATGCAGGCGTTTCTCAGGGATTTGGTCACGCCTCAGATGTTTGAAACAGCGATCGATGTTAAGGGGGAACACACGCATTCCGATCATCTGAGTGCCTTAAGTCTGGACGTTGCCAGTGATTTTGAAGAGACGAACACGACGCCATATAGCTGTCCGCCACGGAAGCGTTATAGTATTGTTCAGCCGAACGTGTTCGTACGCCCCAAATCGCTAAAGGCCCAAAGGATGACGGACTCCAAAAAGGATGTGGAGCCCAAAGAGACTGCGTCGAAGGCGAAGTCACCGCGACTCTCCCGATTGAGGAGCAAGGAAAGTTTTCGTGTGTCCAATAAATCAGTACGCAACTCCACGGGGCGAATCAGTACACTTCGCAGAGAAGCTTCCAAAACAAATTACTCTGAGAAGCCAACATATATTGGTCTAGGCCCGGATCATCCGATGCTCAAGGGCTACAATTTGGATGATGCACGGCAGACGATCAATGTGAAAAACTCGAAATATTACTTTGAAGAGGGCCTAATAAAGCTCTACGAGGAGAAATGGAACTTTAGGCAGATGAACAAATGCCTCACCCTGGAGATAGATAAGCAGACGTTGCACCTGACCAACGAGCTGGGCAGAATGGATAATGTATCGCCGAATATACGCTTTCAGACACCGAATGGCCTTAGCTTGCGTGTAAGTCCCAAGGCCGATGAATGCGCCAAGGCGGTGCTCAACTATCCGAATGGCTTGACCCTCTACTACCACGACACCCATGTGGAGAACTTGTGGTCGGGTCAGCAGAGCGAGCTGAACGAAAGTCGGCGCGTTCATACGCCCTACGGCTGCGTCATCACCTTCTATACCAACAACGATATGGTGATGATAATGCGCTATAATGGTGAGGTCTATCGATTGTATAGCGCGCCGGAGGTGGTCGAGGAGGACGAGGGCGTAGTTGAGGATGATCCGAGCTTCATCAATGCCTGCTCCACCCAATCAACGTACAGCAGCTACAAGCCTTTGCCGAAATGCGCGGCCAAAAAGTTGAGTAAGCCGAGGAATACATCGTTGACGAATCGCACAGTAGGCGGGTCGGATGCGAAGGGGCGGCGTTCGCAGGAGCCGGGCTCCACCTCATCCGAAACTCTAGCCGCACGGGCGGCCAAGCTGGAGGCGCGTCAAATGAAATTGGCCCAGGCCACAGCTCTGTTTGCCAGCATTGATGCGGAGATTAAGTTTCTGGAATTCATCATGCAGCTATTCAATCTGACCTTCAAGCACCTGAAGCTGACCACATCGCTGGGCAGCGTCGTCCACGTGCAGGGCCATGAGATACGGTGCGGCAAGCCGATTCGGGTAACGGAATGGCATGATTACTATGCCAACGAGAGCTATGCGATGCGGGATGATGGAGTGCGCATGGTCTGGACACATGATTCGCTGCGCTGCTATCACAGCGATGGCACCTTGATCACCACCAGAACAACAGCGCATTGGGATCAGGGCATTGCCGAGGACGACATTGATAAGCAAATCAGTTCGAGCAGCTCTCATTTGACAAGGAAGAAGCAAAAAGATACCGATGTGGATTCGGATGTGGTAAAGTTGAACATAAATCTAAATGAAAGCAAATTAGTTGCAAGTGTCTGACAGACTAGAGATAATTTCTATTTACCGAGCTATTTTTTAAAAAATAATTAGACATCCAAAACATAAAATCTACTTTGGATGAGATTCGAACCGCAGGTCTCAATTATGCAACTCATTAGGTTCTCGCGCAACGTCTCAGCCATCAACGCCACTGCAAACGGCACAAATTACACTCACAATACAATTACAACTACATTAAGCATACACGCACAAGTTTTTTGTATGTGTGCGTGTGTATGCAGAAAGTGCGCTTGCAAAGGCAACGTAAAGCATTTGCATGTGTGTATGTGTGGTGCCTATGCATAGCCAATAGGAAGAGCATCTAAATGTGTGTGTGTTTTTGCACAGGCAATCGAATTCATGTGTGCTTGTAGTTGTAGCAGTACATTTCACTGTATGTGTGCGTTTGCAAAGGCAATTTAAAGCATGTGTCCACCAGTGTTGGCAGCTTAGCCTATTTTACGCTAGATCTAGCCTGTTTGATATATAAATATGGGATAAAATATCCTTAAATTGAGGAAAACGTTTTAGTCCTTAAGAGAACTATAGAACAGAAATAAATTAATGGATGTACATAAGTTATTATGTATATTAAAATATAGCCTTATACATATATGTATATATATTCTTGAGTAGCGTAATGAATTCATCAGATTTATGTAACTATGCATATTGGTTTCCTATATATCTTGTTCGTATGTCTGTCTGTCTCCCTGTCTATCTACTATCTACTACTACTATCGCAAATCTGCCCTTGCCACTAGGAATACAAATAGATAAACGAATAGCCCTTACTATCAATTTGTTAATCATATTGCAACACCCACATTGAAATGTTAGTGAACACATACATACTTAATGCTGATATGCCGACAAATGTTTCACAGGAGACCATCTATATAAATGTACCAGGCGGTAGCTCGTTTGTGGAGCATCAGGTATCAAATCACTCAGTTCAGTCAACATCGAAAGACGAGGAAGTCGAGTTTGTACAGGAAATCGAGCCAGAGGATATGTATGTATATGATCATAGCTTCACAGCTTACGAGCCCGATGAGTATTTGATCGAGAACAAGTATTACGCCGGCACCAAATTCAATTTTACGCACATCAATAAGGCAGATCTGAAGTTGGATACGACCATCTATGCCACTGACAATTTACAAGTTCGCATCTATAAATTGGAGGAGGAGTCGATGCGAGAAAATATGCAGGATATCGAAGAGGAAACCATATGCGATGATACATCCTCCGAGCCCGATCCCGACGAATGGACCAAATATACCGGTGGCAAGAGAACACTTAAATTTCCATATCAGAGCGCCGCGGTGACCATTCAAGCACCCAATATTCAAATCGATATGCTAATGGATCGTTTGGAGATTGTAGCGAATTTGCGTAAATTTAACTGCGATGATAATACTTATGTAGAGCGGTAAGTGAACGAAGTCTAAATCTATATTGGGTGATAGCTCTGGAAAGAGATGCTTTAAATTTAAAAGGACTTCTCGATCAATCAATCTTTCTCTTCCAACAGCGACAACATTCAGCTAAACGTGGATTTGCAAAAGAGTTTGACAAACGCATTTCAGTCCTGGGTTGAAGAGTTTCACCAGTTTATCAAATGCTCCTGCGCCAAATGGCGCACCGTCTACTTTGTGGAGGCCACTCTGGACGACTGTCGTAAGAAGGGTAAGAAATACCAATAGGAAAAGATCAGGAGTAGAGCACTAGCTAATGCTGATATTCTATCTCAAATATTAGCTAAAATATATTATTTTTAATTTATTTATTCGTATAGGTATCGAGCTAATGAAGGCCGTCCCTCCAATGGGCTCATTTAATTTTTGTGCGGGCAACTTTTTTATTGATCCCGTGGAACTGAAATCGATGTCGAGCAAAATGGAAACCAAATTAAAGTTTTACGATCAGGATATGCTCAAGTTTCCACGATTTCCCACCAAGACGGAAACGCCCAACGTCCCACAATTCGCCACTGTAATGAGCACAAGGTAAGGCGATTTCAATTAAATATTCTTCAGGTTTTCCAGTTTAATTCCCCAAATAGAATCTTTGTGGAAATACCTGCCCAGCTGGCCTATACAGATCGCATCCATTTGTTTCTGGATCCCTTCGAGAAAATCAAGTTCCGCAAGCTCAAGCATCGCTTCAGCGAGTGAGTTTATTGGGCTTGACGATTAAAGATATTCCCGATCTCTAATTACCTCTTTGTAGAGCGCTCATCTTCCACTTGCATCCTCATCTACGCGGTCTCGTCCACAAGGAGATCAGCAACCGCAGCTGGCGCAACTATCATCTGGAGAACAAGCGGCGTATGTTTCAGGAGCAGCAACGTCTCAGCCTCTATGTGGCGATGCTGCGACACAAGGTCTATCCGAATTACTTCCAGTTCAAGGATCGCTATCATTATCATGTGCGCAATATTGATTTCTTCGAGTTCATGACCACCAAATGCACCGAGAAATCGCATTTTGAGCGCTTTAGTGAGGCCCAGCAGGTAAGCAAGTCGATAATAGTAACAGAAAAGGATCAAGGACAGCCAAACAAGGATCCGCCCCTCTCTAAATCTCGCCGCAAAAAGTGTTTGTGTCCCAAATACTTGAACTCTCTCAAATAGAAAACAATTTGTGTTTAGCCGAGCATTT